TCTCAACCAGAAAGTAGGTGATGGCCGTGGTTCAGCCAGGAAGGGGTGGTTGCATTTTAAAGCTATGAATGATGATGTGTTTTCCATGTAACTCAGGCTCCATGTTCTTCATCCAAACCACTTAAGTGAGAATCTACTGAAATTAGAGTTTAGATTTATTCTGCCTTTGCCTTTCGTGTCGTTTTTGTGAATTGGAACTCACAAAACTGGTGTGAATTAGTACCCCTTCCTTTCCAAATGAGGAAGCAAAAGCTTAAATAACAGTTGTTCATATGTGGCAGATCTGAGACTGTATAGGAGATTTTTTATTCCCCTGTTCTAAGCTTTTAAGTGCTAAAAAAGACATACTTGCATTCTGAAGAGTCTCTGAATTAATCCAAGCTGCTTCTGTTGCTCATGTACCGACACCCTTTGCTTTGCTGGTTGGTTATATCTCACTTTTCCTCACAGAGTAACGTGCAGGTGCAGTTTTACTTTTTGAATATTAATTATCATTGAATCACAGAATACTTTGGGTTGGAAGGGACCTTAAAGATCATCTAATTTCAACCCCCTGCCATGAGCAGGGAACCTTCCACTAGACCAGTTTGGGTTTCATGAGATGTCTAAATCCTTTCCACTTCAGGCTTCTGCTCTTGCCAGAGTGTTTTCATGATGCTTTGATAATTTGCTTTGATAATTAGCCATAATCCTCTGTTTTTTCTTTCACTAAGTAACTGTGGCTGGAAGGTAGTGTCAGAGTGTGATGCCTTAGAGATGCAATCCTGATCCTGCAGGATTCAAGGGAACCAGGATTTCCCTCTATAAGTTTAGTGTCCTAACTTAATGATTTAATCAGCAAGTGAAGAAAACACGGCAGTACATAAAGTGTTTTATGTCCTTCAGATTATTTTCCATACATTTAATTGCATAAACAGATGATATTTACAGGGGACTTCTGGCTGTGATTGACCTTCATCTTTTCCTGTGCCCTTCCCAACCTCTCCTTGAATTTTCCTATTGTTTCCTCTTAATCATTCCACATTTAACACCGTGTTTCAAGCAGTTGTTTTCTCTTGCTCGGGACCATCCTACCAATTCCCCGGAGACCAGGATTCCCAGTTCCTTTTAATTCATCTTTCCAGAATTATTTCATTGGCAATTTTGGAACTCATAGAACTCCAAAGCCCAATATTCAGGTTTTCCACCACTTACAGCACAATTGCTCTTTCCCTTTTACATGATCATCATTTTTTAGGAGTAGGAGTGTCTTTAATCTGGTGAAAAATTGCTTTTCAGAAGTTGCGGCAGCACAATACACATTTAAGGATGCATTTCTTATTTTTGTTTGAATTTTTTCTATGTGTGTGTTGGGTCAAGGAGGGGAGGAATTGCATAAACTGAGATAGGTTAGAGAAAACCCATGTTTGGAGTTCAGCAGTGTTCCCATGGCTACTAGGACAGGTACATCACGGAAGAGGGAACACTTTGGCATTTAACAGCCATTCCAGGTGATTTATGGTTTTACATAAGCTTTTCCTAAACCCAGAGGTTTTCTAGGGTTGGCACCTTTTTGCTTGTCTCCATGCCCTGTTAGTTCTGTGCTCAGTGGCCCGTGGTTATTAAAATTCTTATCAATAAAGGAGTTTCTGAGCAAGGTTCTTATTTTCTGGGCTCGTGCAAACCTTCTGAACTCCTCTGCTTAACCAAAGGAACATTTGTTTTTATGCCTAATGTATTTTATAAAAAGAAACGTGTAGAGTTCAAGTAATATTTGCCTTCAATTACAGTAATTAAGTTGTCAGGACTTGAAGTCACCAAGGGAATAAGAAAATCCTTTCCTGGTTGGCCAGGGGGTGACTGTGTTCTGGTCCCAAGTGCGTTTTACATCTTGGGGTGGGGAGGGAAACTGTTCTGGCTGAAAACCTGGGAGACTGTTTGTCCTTTTGCAATCCAGGGTGTCAAAATCCTGCTGTGGGTAGGGGGAAAATGCCCTGTTTCACTGTGCTGCTGCAGGGCAGCAGGTTTGGATCTGCTGGATCCATGGGCTGAGGCCAACGGTGGGAGGGTCAACAGGGCCAAGTGCCGGGTCCTGCACTTGGTCACAAACAACCCCCTGCAGCTCCAGGCTGGGGCAGAGTGGCTGGAAAGCTGGAAAAGGACCTGGGGGTCCTGGTTGACAGCAGCTGAACACAAGACAGGGTGTGCCCAGCTGGCCAAGGAGGCCAATGGCACCTGACTTGGATGAGCCCTGGTGTGGCCACAGGATCAGGGCAGTGCCTGTCCCTCTGTTGGCACTGCTGGGGCACCTCCAGTGCTGGGGGAAGCTCTGGGCCCCTCAGACAAGAGAGACATGGAGGGGCTGGAGCATGTCCAGGGAAGGGAACGGAGCTGGGGAAGGGGCTGGAGCACCAGGAGAGGTTGAGGGAGCTGGGGGGGCTCAGCCTGGAGAAAAGGAGGCTCAGGGGAGACCTTCTGGCTCTGCAATTCCCTGACAGGAGGGGGGAGCCAGGGGAGGTTCAGGTTGGACATCAGGAAGAATTTCTTCTTGGAAAGGGTTGTCAGGCTTTGGAAAGGGCTGCCCAGGGAGATGGTGGAGTCCCCACCCCTGGAGGTGTCCAAGGAACGACTAGACATGGCACTCAGTGCTCTGGGCTGGGGGACAAGGTGGGGATCAATCACAGGTTGGACTCGAGGATCTTGGAGGTCTTTTCCACCCTTAATGATTCAGTTATGCACTGGGATTCTGTGCTTGCTGGGTTAGGAGGTAGGTCTTATTAAAAGCAGTGTTACTGTAAACATAGCTCAATCCATTTATCCTGGAAATTTTGCCTTGTCAAACTTCTGCTGCAACTCCCCTTTCAAATGTCACCTGTATGTGGATGTGTGTGGACACATCCTGTTTTTCCCCATGTTCAACAACCTCTTTGCAGGCTTCTCTGCCAGAAGTCAAATAGTTTCAGTTACTCCATATACCTGCAGGAACACTACAACATATTCCTACAAGAAAAGTACCTGATTTTGGTAAGTGCCCACACAAACATTCCTGGAATCTCAAGTGCAGCCTTACTTTCGTTCCACTGGAACAGCTCTCCTGAAAGCAGATGTATGAGGAAATCCACTCGTAATGCATCACTAATGACACCAATTTTTGCATTCCTGCTCATGTGAGCAAAGGTTATGGATACAGAAGGAAAACCTTCCTCACAAACCCTGATAAACCCCACTTCAGGCAGCAAGTTTAACGATGCTCCAAAGAGAACCAGATCACTTATCTCCACCATCGTGCAATAACTGTAAAGTGTGGAGATAAGTGGGTTTATATCTCCCAGTTCTCTGCTGGCCTTCCCTGGGTATCAGTTTATGGCAGTAAAAGTGGCTGTGAAATATTACTGCCCTGATTTGGTGGTGTTTTATAGTCCCTTCAGTTCACATTCAGGCTGCATGGACAGAGTGGATGCTCTTATCTCTCAGTGCATTTATGAATGGAAAAACAGGGAATTATCTCAGTCATACTCACCATATTTGGCTGTAATAGCTGTGATTTAGCTCTCTTTCAAGAACAGGTTGTAGGCCAGATGTTGGTGAGGATTGTACTCCATCCTGACCGGCTCAGCTTTTCCCATCCAGAGGAGGGTGTTTGGTTACCTGCAGTGTGAACAAGGTTTTAAAATAAATTAATGACCTGAGGGAGCTGGGGGGGTTCAGCCTGGAGAAAAGGAGGCTCAGGAGGGAGCTTTTTGCTCTCCACAACTCCCTGACCAGAGCGGGGAGCCAGAGGGGTTCAGGCTCTGCTCCCAGAGAACAAGGGACAGGACAAGAGGAAACAGCCTCAAGCTGTGCCAGGAGAGGTTCAGGTTGGACATCAGGAGGAATTTCTTCGTGGAAAGGGCTGTCAAGCATTGGAAGGGGCTGCCCAGGGAGGTGGTGGAGTCCCCATCCCTGGAGGTGTCCAAGGAATGACTGGATGTGGCACTCAGTGCTCTGGGCTGGGGGACAAGGTGGGGATCAGTCACAGGTTGAACCTGATGATCTTGGAGGTCATTTCCAGCCTTAATGATCCTGTGATTCTTTGAAAATCTGGGACATTTCCAAGAGTCATTTATTACTTTTGCCAAGCAAAAGCCACAGAGGCTTTTTTTTGGGTGCTTTGCTATGTATGTGAACAAGCCTTAATTTCAGCTGCCTGTTTGGCTTGTTTATTTTGCAAATCACAGACAATTTAGCAAATTATGTATTTTCAACTTGTTGCATTTGTTGCTTTTTCAGAGTCACTTCTCTTTGTGCCATACAAAACATCCACTCCATAGCTATACTTTGCTTTTCGGTGTATATTTACTTTCTAGATACAAGACTCTTTTAATAACTCCTCACCTGCAACCAGCGCTGAGCAGCTCTTCATTTCATGTCTGCAGAAGCCTTGTAAGATGTAACCTGTGATGTCGTTTTTGCCATCTGATAACTTGTGATCAAATGGAGCCTGTTTAAATAACAACATCTGGGACACAATGACAGTGAAGCAGCTACGAAACAAACATTTCTGAAGATCAGATAAGATGGAAGAGATGCCTCAGTGCTGGATTGCTCCCTGGATCATGAGCCCTATGCTGGAGAGGGATTCCAGGCATGGGATTTCCTTTGTGCCACGGGCTAAGGGATTGTGCTGGATTATTTTTCATGTTGGTTTATGTCTTTTAGAGACGTGCTTTTGTAATACACTGAGTATGGAGGTAGTAAACTCAATCTGCAGTGAGTTGCACAGGAGTAGGTTAAATAAGGAATTCAAGTCAACTGAAAATTGTCTTGTTTTGTATTCTCTTGCTGCCTTTCATCCTTCCACCTCTAAACCTACAGCATCTTTTACATAAGGGCTGCTTAACTTCCACCCAAGTCTAAACTTTTACAGTTAATTTTCAAAGCACCACATTTCAATATTTTTCTTCTTAGTGTGCAAAAATCAGCTTTATATTTAAAGCCATTATTCCTGACTCTCACTCCTGCTTCTCTTTGTTCATTTGCAGGAGGATATTACTGATCCTGAGTCTCAGGAAGACAGGGACAAGAAGGATTGGCTCTCTGACCCTGCAGATGGTTCCAATACAGTGAAGAGCGTTCTCACTGTGCAGGAATATTTTGCCAAGCGCATGGCAAAGCTGAAGGGATCTCAGAAGGAACCAGAAACAAAGGTGGATAATTCCAGCCCAACGTCTGATGAAGCTTTGGATCTTGTGGAAGAGCTGGAAACCAAAGTGAAGAAGAAAAAGAAGAAGCAGAAGAGAGATGAGGAGGCAGAAAGGACAGAGCATTGCGAGAAACAGCCTGAAACTGGTGGTTTGGATGGAGAGGAACTGGATACTCCATTAAATGAATGTCACAGAGGGAAAAAGAAGAGGAAACATAAAGAGCAGCATGAAGGAGAAAACACCAGTTGTGATGAAAATATGGGCTATGGAGAAATTTATGTGGGAATAGCTGATGAGGAGGATCTTGGTGTAAGGGACCAGGAGGAAAAGCAGAAGAAACGCCATAAGAAGAAACACAAAAGGCAAAAGGAGGAGGTGGAGGAGTGTGTGGAAGGAGCCCCCAGGAAGAAAAAGAAGAACTGCAAGCACATTTGACCATTTCAGAGTCATGCTGGGGCTCTGAGGTGAATTAGAGGAGGACTCTGTGTAAGCTCAGCAGCAAACACGTCGTGTCCCAGGATAGAACATGGTGCTCCACCTCCAGCTGGGACCACGGCCTGGGTTCAAGTGTCTCTTCCAAAGGAGAACGTGGTGATGGACCAACATGAGCTTCAGTGCCACATTAAAAAGGGATCCAACACATGGTTCAGACTGTGAAAGGCAGGGAACTACTTTCTGCTGCTTAACACTGACTGTGTTTTTCCCAATCTAGGAAAAAATAACAAAAAAAGTCACCAAACTACTGCCTTTTTTATTAAAGTTGTTTTCACTTGTGAGAGCCCAGCTCTGCTTCTGGAAACAGGAGGGGGGTTGCAAAGCTGTTTGTGTTTTTTCACTGATTTTTGCAAAGTGGTGTCTAATTTTTTCATTGATCTCCTTTTACAACTAAAATGAATGTTGTTTCTTCCCAAAATACTTACCCTGATTAAAGGTTTACAGCTGAGTTTCAGTACTAGAGGATGAAATAAAAATGCCTCCCTGTGTTTTCAGACCAGTTGTTTTACTGTTGTGAAACAGCTGTAACTTTGCACCAAAGCTAAAGGAACTGTGTATTAACCATATATTCTTATTTAGATGTGCATTAACCATATCATTTATTAACCATATCTAAATCTGTCATTCTCAGGCAATATTCATGGTCTCTTCAGTGATGCATCTGGCATTCAGGAAGTTGGATAGAGCAAGTTTTTTTCTGAAATTAGGAGACCAGTAGATTTTCAAAGCAGTCAGATGCATTAGTATTGCCACTTCCACGTTGAAAACTTGCAGTTTAGATTTATAACCAAATTACAGCTTGTTCCTAATTGTGAGCCTGGAAATAAGTAATGCTGGAACTTAGCACTGCCAGGAGAAGTTTTGTGTGAGATCTTGAACGGTCAGCATGAATTTTGATGTGTTAATATCTCTCAGTTAAGAGCTGTCAGGAGAGATGGGTGAGCTTGGAAGTGGTGGAATGGGAAGGAGGATTCACCATCCTGGTGTCCTGCTCTGATATTCCTTCAGCCACAGCAAATGGACAGCACATCCCTGAAAACCAGCCAGTTGTCCTGGCCTAATCCAGAATTCAAATCCATTAGCTGCTCGTTTCATTAAGGCCTGGCTGTGTCTCATCAGTGTAAATCTAAAACACCCCATTGGCTGCTCTGCTGAATAAAATGGGTACATTTTTATATTGTCTTAGCTCAGTGGAGTTGCTTAACAGGGTTTGAGAAACATTGTCAAGATGCAGATGTTAATATGAAAAAAATTTCCTTCAGCTGCCTTTATTGTCCAGTGGAAGGAACTTCATCTGCAGCACAGACCACATGGCTTTGGGTGTTTGAGTTGCAGCTGAACTCTTCCTTTTTTTAAGATCTCTTGTTTTCCAGTGCACCTTTTTTTTTTTTTTTGCCCTCAGGACATGCTCATTCATTGCTGCAAAATTACTGTAGTTTTACTTATTGTATGGGAGAACAAGATGCCTTTCTTTGTGTTTCATGTCACATGCCAGTGGTTTTTAACCCTTAAAGCATCTCCTTTTCAGGAGAAATACAATTAATATCCAATATAATCCTGCTTGTTCCTGGCTTCCTTAAATGAACTACCACTTAATGCCATCAGGTTGCACTGAAGTTGGGAGTAAACTCCATGACTGAGGTGAAAAAATAATCTTTATGTTACCTCTTTGAATTTTTATTTATTAGTAGAATGCAAAAGTCTGAGTGTTTTCAATTTTTTTTAACTCTTAAGCAGCTGAACTTCACCGTTTGAATTTTTGTTTATTAGAATCCAAAAGTCTAATTAATTTTTTTTTTTTAACTCTTATGCAGCTGAACTTCACATCCTCTCTGGGATTTCAATTGCAAAAGGTGCTAGTCAAGGAATAAGGTTTCCTTCTCCAAATCCTGCTGGGCTTGTTTGTTTGTTCCCTCTATTAATCTTCCAGTTTCTGTGTGCTAATTCTTATGGGTGTTTGGCCACATTCCAGTACCAGTTACAGAAAGAGTAAAACCGGGAATAAATCTTTAAATTTATGGTGTCACTGCAGTTAAGTGCAGTATACCCAGGAATTTAAATCTGGCTCAGATGGAAGTATGAGCTACAAATGGAAGATTCTCTCTTTCTACAAGAAATACATGGCACTTTATCCCAGGAAATGTGGGATTGTAATGTGCCTCAAGCTCTGCGTGTGGTTGTAGGGGGGGAAAATCCTAATAAATAAATAAATAATCATAAATCATAAATTGCTTGTATTTGACACAAGCAATTCGTTTAAGTGCCCTGCTCTGTGTTAGTGGTCAGCCCTCACTGTGTTATTCAAATGAAAGGCTCTTCTTACAAGATACTGCCCAGTGAAATTGGAACAACAGGAACACGTTTCGAAGTAATAAATTATATCTATTTTTTTTGTTTGTAGTGGGTTGTGAGTTCAGTTTTAACCAAACCCTGGTTTGGCAAGAAGGTCTTTTTTAGAAAGCATAAGAAAAAGAATGACATCACTGCCCAAGTGGTGGAATTAGCAGAATGTGAGCACAAAAGGAACGACTTGGTTTCATTTCTGCGAAAATCGTACTTTTAAACTACAGGGTTTTTTGTTACACATTTCTCCATTGTCCCTAATTTATCCATTGTACTCCCACATTGCAGCACAAAATGATGTTCCTCCAAGTGGAATTACCTAGAAACTGAGCAAAATGGGGCTCTGCTTTCACGCCCAAGTGGAGGACGATGCACACGCAGCACAGATATCGAAACGTGTTCAGTTTTGGTAACCCCAGGTCACCAGTGGCAGAGAAGAAGATTTTCCTTTTTGCACTGGCAACATTCCAACATGATGGATTCTTGTGAGTTATTCCATTCTTTGCAGGTTTAGGGGTTGTTCTTTGCTTTGATCCTCGGAATTCCCTGTGGGCTCCACGGCCGCTGACGTGGTTTGCAAGTGAGATGTTAGAGCAGCAGTAGCAAAGGTGCTTGGAAATCCTGCAAGCACTGAACTATCCTGGGAAGCAGAGGCCATGGAAAAGTAGTCCTGGTACCAGCATTAGGCCAAAGTCTGCATGAGCTTTATGGGCTTTAGGAGTTTTGATCTTGGTGTGTCTGAGTGTGGAGCTTTCCTTGGAGCCAAGGATGGGATTCCACACTGGTGCACTCTGTGACAACCCCCATCTGTGGAACAGGCACCATTCCTGGAATTTCCTTCCAAGACGTTCTAGCTCCAGTGCTTTGCACACAGCCAGTGTAAATCAAAATCATGGAATTCTTAAGGTTGGAAAAGCCCTCTGAGATCATCGAGTCCAACTGTTCCCCCAGCACTGCCAAGGGCCACCACTGAGCCATGTCCTCAGGTGCCCTGTAGTAGCAACCAGGGTGAGTTTAAAACATAAATGCAAGACACTTTTAAAGATTTCAGAGCCACTTACCCTTGGGTTTAAGTGAATTTGAGTCCATTTGATGGTATCCAAGATGCTGCTGGAAACTGTGAATTGAAGGGGCTGGAGCGTGTCCAGGGAAGGGAATGGAGCTGGGGATGGGGCACCAGGAGCAGCTGGAAACAAGGGACAGGACGAGAGGAAATGGCATCAAGTTGTGCCAGGGGAGGGTCAGGTTAGGTTGGATATTGGGAACAGTTTCTTCACCAAAAGGGTTGTCCAGCCCTGGCACAGCTGCCCAGGGCAGGGGTGGAGTCCCCATCCCTGGAGGGATTTAAAAGCCGTGTGGATGTGGCACTTGGGGACATGAGTCAGTGGTGGCCTTGGCAGTGCTGGGGAATGGTTGTACTCGGTGATCTTTGAGGGCTTTTCCAACTTAAATGATTCTGTGACTCTGAAATGCATTTGGGAACAGCTCAGCATCATGTTCCTTGGTGCAATTCCCCTTTAAGCAGCTCTGATTCTCACTGCCTTCACATCATCAGCTCAGCAACAAAAATGAGCCTCTTGCTCCGATGGAATGAACCGAGTTTGTCCTGTTTAAACACACGGGACTGAACTTCTTGCAGGATCCACCTTCAAAAAGCACCATTTACGTCACGAAACCTCCAAACCTGCCAACACTAAGAGGAGGAAGGAAGCTCCAAGAAGAGAGGAAAACCACACAAAGTCTCTTGGAAGCACTGCCCAGCATCACGCCTAGCTGGAAAAAAAGATCTTGGAATTGTGTATCCTCGAGCAGCATAAGGTGGACATCCAAAGCCATTCTTTGCTTAATTCCTCATTCCTGGGCAGGAACCTCCAGGAAGGATCAGAGCTCAGAGAACTTGGGACAGCAACCAAGGCTTTTGTCTCTGTACCTGTCCCATCCAGGGATAAACCAACTTTTTCTTGGATCAGCAAACTTTTAGTGATGTGAGACTGGGAAATAGAGGAAAAATATACATTTTTGTGGTGGCAGAAGCGGGAATATTGTTACAAAAACAAATTGAAGCTCCATTTCTCAGCAAGTCAGAACTTAAAATTCGCTTCTGAGTCACTCAAAGTTGTTTTTTTTTTTATTCATATCTTAATCCATTTTTATAAATTTTAAACTGTAAGAGGGAAACTCCTGATGGTTCCTTTTGACCTAAAGGCACTAAAATATGTATATTTTTTAAACTTAAAGCTGCATTTTAAAAATAGAAATATTCAGCACCATGTGTGCTTCCTGAAAATTTTAGCATCTTTGAGGTTTTTGTCTGCATTTTTTTGTATAATGGGAAAGCTCTGGTTCTTTTTCCTAGAAAATAAATGGTGCAGGTAGCGATCCCTGGGGAAAACCTGGTGGAATCAGGGAGGATGGGCAGTGGGCAGGGTTGGGAACTGCAGCTCTTCTGCTGGGAACCCCCAGCTGTCTGTGCAAAAACTCCCCTTGGGAGCCTGAGAGTTTCATCAATAATTAAGGAACATGTGAATATTGAGCTAATTTAGGATTTGCACTTTCTCACACATTTTAATGTCCCTGAATTTTGGGGGGGAGGGGAAGTGGTGAAAATAAACCTGCACTTTGCAAGCCAAGTAAAAAGCCAGATGTGGGATCCACCCAAAAAAAGGGGGATATTTTTAAAGGGTGAGGATGCTCATTCCGTACTGGGTTCAGTCACTAATTCTCTACCTGACCCAGGGGAGTTGCTGCCACTGTTCCCCAGCCGTGAAAATGGGGAGAACAAAGCTTTCTTCCCCCCTTTGTCTGCTCCGTCTATTTTAGCTTTTAGCCGTAATTTCCCTGTTCCCAAAGCCCTGGGAGAGCTCTGCTGCTTCCTGTGCCCCAGATACAGGTGAAGCCTCTCACCAGAGCAGGGAAGGTGAGCGTGGAAAAGGTAATGCTGAGTTTTTCCAGCCTGGTGGTAATTACCCAGATACGGTGGCAATGAAGAGGTGGCATTTTCACCCCTTTATGTAACACAGGAGCTTCCTCCAGGACAGGTTTAACCAGCATTTTAGGCAGGGTGCAGAATAAAACCCTTCTTACTAATGCAATCAGAATGCCAGGTGCTGTGGGAGAGGGGGAGAAGAGGAAAAAAAGGTGATTAGTAGTAGTAGTAGTAGTAGTAGTAGTGTTTGCACTTAAAATTTTGGAGGGGGGCCCTGGGAAAGGAGAAAATCCAAACAATGAATATTTTGCTGGATTTCCTTGCACTCTGACCCCACAGAAGTCCCAGTTTGTGTCTCAGGGAATTTTGAAAAGCCTTAAGTTAACCGTTATAATACCTGTGGGAGATCAAATGTCACCCCTAGGATGTGGAGGGAATGGTGAGGACCAGGAACACCCAGTGAGGTGCTCTGAGAGCCTCCAGGCTTTGGCAGCAGAGGCAGGAGGTGGATGCAGGTCCTGTCCTTGCTCAGGGTTTTATCCTCCCCCCTAAACCTTTCCTCCCATCCTCCAAAATGTGGAAACAGGGGGCAGGGTGGAGGCAGTCCTGTAAAAGGGATTGAGTGAAATTCATCCATTCCTATCCTTTTCCCTAGAGGGGAGGTGTTCTACTAAAAATTTCTGGCCTCTGGGGCCTCGACAGAGGTGCTGGTTTTATATTAATGATATCCAGGCCTGGAGCATCCTGAGGGTTCATATATAAGGCTGAGCCATGCACCATATTCACCATATCCAAAATACCACCCTATTCATAATAAAACCTTGCAACCCCAGGCAGCCTCTTTTTCAGGGCACTTCAACCTCAGCTAAGGAAAATCAAAAGGATTAGGGATGTTACAGGTTTTTTTTCCCCACTTCTCATTGCCAAGCTCTGCAGCAAATCCCAGTTGCAAAATACACCCAGGAGACCTGTTCAGGGCAAGATGGAGGCTTTGGCATCCTCCCTCCCTGCCCCATCCCAGCACTTCCAGGCGTGAGACGGGACTTTGGGAGAGAACTGGAGCCGCTGGGACAGGACAAGCTGTCCCCAGGAGCGTGCCCAGCTCCAAATCCCAGATAAAAAGCAGTTGCTCTGTGCAGGCCTTGTGTGTGTGTGTAAAGGGTTTATAAATCTGTCCCAAGACCAGGAAATCTCCTGCGCCTTTTAGATTTAAGAGAAGTTGCCTTCCTGTTGTATTCCCAGATAACACAGCTCTGATGGAGCCCACTTGTAAATAGCTTAATAGATTTAATCAGTTCCTCTGGAAAATGTTGTTGCTTCCGCAGGGTTTTGATTGGGTCCCGGGGAAAAGCTCAGAAAGGGCAGTTGCTGCTTCTGCTTCAAGGGAAGTTGGCAGATCCCAGCTCTCCAGACCCCAAAATCACTGTAATGCATGAGAAACCGGAGCCATCCTGCTCCTGTGCAAAGGGAAGGGAGAGACCAGGAAGCCCAGGCGGATCCTGCTCACATTTACACTCCGCTCTCTCCATCATTCCTAATCTCACAAGAGTCAATAGGAACACCCAGGCACGTGGGAAAGCTGCACAAACACCCCGGCTTGGGATCAGCGTCGGGGTTTTCCCCCCTCTTTGGGGTTGGATGGGGCAGCGGCACCCAGCCCGAGGAAACGCCTTCCCATCCCGCACCCCGTCCCACTGGTTTTCTGGCAGCAGGGAGAGGAAATCCACCATCAGTCACAGTGGAGCCACTGCAGCCCATGTCAGGGGGTCAGAATCATAAAGGAATCCAGCGACTAAATATATTCCTCAGGGCAGGTTTGCAGGGATGAGCCGGGAAAGGGCAGCCAGCTGGGGATTTTCGGTCCCATCGCCTTCCTGGAGATCCTTTGTCCTAGTGAGGGGAAAGCTGCTTGGATGACTTTCCCACCCTCATGAGCACCAAACTGGGGTTAGTGGGAGATGCCACTGCGTGGCTTTGGGGCTTCCATCCCATCCAGGCTGGTGCAGCTTTGCAGGATGGGGCAGCACTCCATAAAATGCAGCAGAAAGGAAAAGATCCTTTGTCTCCCAGTGTCCAAGGGTGTCCAAGGGTGTCCTTTGTCTCTCCCTTCTGGGCTGTATC